TCTCACCCAGGCGGCGGTGGTTGCTGCTGCGGAGGCGGCGGTTGCTGATGCTGCTGCGCGCGCGCGCGCTCCCTCACCCGCCCCGCCCCTTCCCCTCGCGACAACCGTTACGACCCTGGGCGCGCGGAGACTAAGGCGCCCGCCCCCAGCCTGGCCTCGGCGCATGCGCGAGAGGACATTTCCCGCGCAGGCGCGCCGGGCAGCCCAGCCGCCGCTTGGTCCAACGCTTCCGGGACTGCGCAGGCGTGGGCAGTTGAAGGGGAAGCGGGGAGGGAAGGGCTGTGGAACTGCTGAGTGCGCATGCGCCCTTGTCTAGCGCAAGGGCGGGGGGAGGCGAGGAGCGAGGGAGCCCCCTGCAGGCGGGACGGCGCCAGGCGCCTCTAGCTTCACGAACGTCTGCTCTGGGCGCCTGCGGACTGCCTGCCTCGGAGGGAGGCCCGCGGGGTTCAAAGCCTTCTTCTGTGTGTTGAGTGCGATGACACGACTACCCCCGCAGCTGTAACAAGCAGAGGCCCGTTTCTCTGGTAGCCCGAGCGCAGGGGAGAGACCCGCGATCCTCAGCATCCCGGGCTGCCTTGAGCCCCCCTCGGGGTGCCACACCCTGAGCGGCCCAGGAGGTGTACCCACACCATGGACCCAGAGGTTTTAGGCGGTAACCGGGAGCACGCGGAAGGCCTTTGCAACCCACCAGCTGCTCTTGTTATTTTTCTGCAGTCAAAACAAGTGGGAGCCAAAAAACCAGCATCTTCTGAGGGGGCCTCGAGTCTAAGGTGGCCAAGAACCACTGATCGAGGCTAATTAAACCACATGCACCGCATTAAAAGGCTACTGGTTCCTGAGTGCTCCCTACAGGCCTACAAGTATTTGCCCCTCCCGCCATTGGCTGCCCCTCCCTCTGATTGGGGGCTTCACATCACTATTAAATGAAGCCCAGGTGCTGGAGGGAGTGGAAGGGTGTCCCTGAGGTCCATAAACAAGGTGGGTGGAGGTCTGGGCTTGTCTCCTGCTGGGTTGTGGGCAGATGCAGTAGCAGCATGGCCCTTAGTTTTGGCAGGGCTTTGCTGGGGAAGGATTAGTTTGGTTTTGTAGGGTTTTGCCCCTCCAGAGGTTAAAACAGCCTTTGGGTTGCTGGTGGAGTTGAGTTGTGAGGAAAGCATGTAGGTTCTTGGTGCTGTGTTGAGGCCGTGCTCTGGATGGAAGCTGGAGTAAGAGGGCTCTTGTTCCTGCGTGGCTCTTAATTTATCAGGGGTGAGCTGTGTACCCCTTTGTAATGGCTTTAAGCTCAGTTTTATTTTAGTGGCTTTCAAAAACCCTAACTTGCCAAAATGCCTCTCTTTCTATTAAATCTAATTATCTTATTTTCCCACACCTCTCCCTTTTTGTCCTCTTCCCCACTTGTAAATACTAATGGACAAACAACAAGTGTGTGCCTTTTGATGCATGTTGTTCAGGAGGGGTGGTGGTGTTTAGTTTATAGTACTACTTACCTTGGTCTGCCTAGAAAATGTGTACTAGGAATTTTTTTTTTTAACCAATCACTTGTTTGATATGACTAATGATATAGAATATATTCTCTAAGTAAATTAGCAGAGAGACAGTGCTGTTCAAACATGATAGCTTTCACCTGTACCTCTTTTATGTAAGAGAACTCACTTTCTATGGAGTGTGAACTTTATTTAATACAGTATGTATGTGGTTGTTTGAACACAGTACTCTTTAAATACTAAAACTTTACTGAACTGAAATTCCATGGTTTTGTTCCTTACAAGCAGCTCAGTAAACTAAAAGTATTTGATGGTGTGTGTGTACATGAGGGAGTTGCTATTATTTAGGTAATCTCAATGGTCAGCATAATCCAAGGGTCACTGACCACTGCTTTGAATATTGGTTATGTGGCTAGTATATTTTAAACAAACAAATGTGTATGTGTTGGCTTTGTAGCGCTCTCATGCTCCAAACAAACTTGTAGAAGACTGGTTAAGATCTGTCTTAGATATAGTAATGCTGACCATAACATATAAAATTTTTCTTTTTTTTTTTTTCCCCCCTCATGTAGTATTTGTCTAGAAAGACATCTGATTGAGCTGGATACTGAATTTATTGACTTGTAGACATACAGGCTAGCATTGCAGGACAGGTTATATGGTTTCTCCCTGTGAATGGATATAACAGGGGAGATGTACATTTAAAAAAAAACAAACAAACAAAAAAAACCCAACAGTGCCACTGAATATATCGCACTTATCTGCTTTCTGTGATGCTTCTAGAAGAGTATGATCAAACTTGTCTGACTTAACCTGATAGCTTTAATGTCATTTACTGTTTAGAAAATGAACACTGCCCCAGCTTCAGAGAGTGGACCATACTCCACAAACCACACAAGGCCCTTTTTTTATGCACAGCCAACAGCACAACAGCCTTTCCCAAATCCATGGTACCTCAGTCAAGTCTATAATCCCTACTGCATGCCTGCACCAGGTAAGGAAAAACAAGCCATTTGAAGAAAATGCTTGTACCACTGGTGGAGCAAAAGAAATGCAAATATTATGCTACAGACCCTTAGAGCTGTTTATATAGTTTCTGAAGATGGGTTTAGTGCATATATTGAAAGGGTTTCTCTTAACCTGTGGTCCTTTTCTGTTGGTAACTTGCTGGCTGTGTAATTTTATGATTGTGGCATCACCAAACTGGATACGAAGAGTAGTCTTACTACAAAGATGTTGGTGAAATTAGAATTAATTATTTCCATGAGGTGGGGTGCTTCTGTTGTCTCAACATGAGACTGTAAAGTGAATCAATTAAGTTGTATTAAATCCAATTACTTTACATTATGAATACCTGTTTACAGGGGTTTACCTGAATTCTCTCACAAGCCATCAATAACTAGCAAATCAAATCACAGCTTCCTTTTAAACCATAATGTAGACACTTCCGTGGTCAGAACTTGGTGTAGACTTACTGATCAACTTTTAAACAGTTAACTTCCCCCGCCCCTGAGTGTCCAGGTAGATAAGCCTTTAATTTCAGCAACTAGCACCAGTAGGAACGTACTCCTCTGCTTGTTTGTTTGAGCTTGGCAACTTCTGTTTCAAGGCAGAACTAAATGCTGATCTTAAGAATGTGGGGGAAAAGTATTTTAAAGATGGGTCTTAAACTTACTATTCAATAAACACCCTTGGGGGATTAAATGCATGTTTCTATTTATGGTTTATGGAGTGTGGAAAACTAAAAAATAAATCAAGTAACTGTTTCCTAGTCAAGGACAGGGCATCTATATGATCAGAGGTAATGAAAATGTCTCTAGTGTAGAGCTATCCCCTTAAAAGGCACAGTTATAGCCTAGTTTAGATATTAAATTTTGAAGACCAATTTGAATCTGCCTCAAGCTGTGAAGCCAAGCTGTACTTAAAATAAGGGTAGCCTACAGACAAGCTAGTCCTTAATGGCCCAGTAGGATTGTGGTGGAGAGGGCTCTTGTGTAGTACTTGAAGGTAGGGTATTAATGTAACAGTTATTCCATGTGGTCTAATCAAAACTTTTGTATTTTTTTTAGTCTCCTTTTATTTCAGAAGATTAACATTTTTATATAGACAAATTCATAATTTTTTTCTTTCTTTTTTGCCTCTTCCCTCCTCCCCCTCCCCCCCCCCCCAATGTTTCTAGGATTCAGAAATGGAAACCCATATTTTCCATTTTATTCTGTTGCACTGCATGAGTACCCTGGATATTTTGTTCCACAGCATCCCATGCACACAAGAGTTAACAGAAGGCCTTATTTTAATGCTCCCCCACCCTCTCCTATGTTTTATCATGCAACACGCTTTAGGCACTATAGTAGTCCTGGGAGAAGAACAGAAACCAAAGAAACACAAACTGATCCTAGACAGCCTGAAAACAAAGCAAAAAAGCATCAGGCTCCCCGTATAGAAACGAAAGGCTGTGATGCAGGAAATATGGCTTGCGTTTCTTCTGGTATTGGTACAGAAACTGACAGTACTTCAGAGAAACAGGATTCATCTGGATCTTCCATTGTACCAGAGAGAGAGTTTCATAAGAGCCCTTCCAGCACTGCACAGTATAGAAATCTTCCTTCAGGAAGCTATGCTTTTGAGAAAGAAGAGGTAAGAATAGAATATGGAAATGGCTCACCTGCAATTCAGCTATGGAAGTCCTTCAAAGAAACAATTCCTTTGTATGATGTAGCAAGTGGCAAACCAGTCCCAGAGAATATAGTGCAGCGTGACTTATTTTCTGTTAGCTCTTGTGAAGGGCTTATATATGGCCCTCATGAAGCTGAGGCATTGATGCCAAGCACTTACTCAGATGAGTGCAAAGCTCTCCCTTCAAAACAGAGCATTGATGTGCAGGAAAGAGAGGTCCAAAATAATGAAGCAAAGCTGGAGGTGGAAAAACTGGGAAATGCAAGCCAGAAAGCCAAATCTCCTCAAGGTGAAGCTAGGGCAGTACAAATAACAGACCTAGCCAGCTCAATTTGTAATGATCAGTCAGTGGCAAGGCAGGACACTCTAATTATATCTAAAATATCTTCTAGTTCTAAAAGATCTACTGGCTCAAAAGCTTCTCAAGACGAATCCAGCTTAACTCAGCAGGCTGTATTATTCCCATCCAATATGGAGATAACAAATGACATGTTCCTGCAGCAGAAAAAGCTAAATCAGAGCCACAGTGTTACGAGTGGAAGTCAGATGACATTGGATAAAAGCTTATGGTGTGATGAATCAGTTGAGAAGTTTGTTCCTTCTAACAGCTGGCTGGCTGGCTTGGATAATATGGACACTAACTGCAACTATGATATGCGTTTCCCACAAAGAAAACATCAAAATGTGCTCAGTGTTTCTTCTGATGAAATGTCCTCCAAAGAGGAAGGCTCATCAATTGATAATGCACCAGTGTCATACTTTGTCCCTGACTCTGTGCTTCAGAAAAGCATGTACACTTTACAAAAAAATACAGATGACTTGGAGAAGGACAAAATTAAAAGCAGTGGCTCCCTAAATGAAGATGAGGAACAGGTAGACGGGGAGCAGACCAATGATGGCAATAACCAGAACTTCAAAAGCTGTTCAAACCTCAAGATAAAAGATCTTTCCAGCAGAGGTAAAAAGATGGGCAGCCTCCCTAGATCTTCCAGTAAAAAGAAAATCTACTCCCTAAAGAAAAAAGCTGTTAAGAGTTTGTCTCTGTCAGAAGTTGATGACTCGGAAGAATTCTCAGTGGTGGAAGACGAGGAGGAAGAGGATGAGGATGATCTGGATGAAATTGAATATTTCTTTCATGGAGCCACCCCATATGAAATGTTGACCCCTAGTAAAGGCAGCTTCTACCATCAGATTGGTCAGAGGATGCTTTGGAAACCACCAAAAAACTCTCTCCCAGCTCAGCTGATTAGCTGGCCTGCTAGAGAGAAAGTAAAACTGAAAAGTGCCCTTGGTGAAATTGGTCTATTTTGTAAGCCAAAGGAGAAGGACCAGGATGAGGTGGTGTACAGTGACTAT